ATAATTCACGTAAAGATAAGCAATAGAAGAAACAAATGATGTAATGATAAGATATAAAAGGTGTAGATTTTGGTGTTATTAATGGAAAGTTAAGCACTAAAAGATTTTATTATTGTAAACTTAACTATTAAAAGATAAAAATGATGAAAAGTTAAGTAATAGAAGATACAATTGATTTAATGTTAAGGGTTGGAATTTGTAGATTTTTAGGGTAAAATTGCAAAGTTAAGCATCAAAAGATACTATTGATGTAAAGTTAACGATTAGAAGATAAGATTACCTTAAAGTTAAGAGTTTGAAGATAAAATGTGTGAGAAGTTAAGTATAGAAGATAAGATTCACGCAAAGTTAAGCAATAGAAGAAACAATTGATGTAATGATAAGGGAAGGAAGATGCAGATTTAGGGGGTAAAAATGCAAAGTTAAGCATCAAAAGATACTATTGATGTAAACTTAAGGATTAAAAGATAAAGTTCTTGAGAAATTAAGAGAAATAACAAACATTTTCAGTAAACTGGTCACTATTTGGTACTCACGTGATAGTATACACGTGTCTAAGAGAAATACACCTTATTGAATTGTAAGGGTTAGCTCCTCATCTAAACAGGTATAACGTATCCCCTTGAAAACCAATATTCATTTATACCAAATACCTAGTTTATTTAAAATAAATCTTTTAAATTTAATTTTATTTTACCCACCTGAAAAACAATATTCATTTAATCATACACATATTTTAATTAAAATAAAATTAATTAATAATTTACAAAAAATATATAAAATTATAAAATTGAATAATAATAATATACATAAGTATTGAAAAACATATACTTTTGCCGAGACATCCAGCATCTAGAATTAGCTATGATTTATAATAAAAATCTATTAATATTTAAAATGTTAATGTTTAAAATTATATTAGTAACTATTATGTCCTTATTTGCAGACAGTGTTGATAATAAACTCTGGAAGGGAGAAGAATATGTGACTACATTATTTCGAAGAACACCAATCCCAATATGGCGGAGGACACCGCCACCAACACTTCCTAATAAAACCGAGAATAATTTGATACCAATATGGCGAAGGACACCGCCACCAACACTTCCTAATAAAACCGAGAATAATTTGATACCAATATGGAGGAGGACACCGCCACCAACACTTCCTAATAAAACCGAGAATAATTTGATACCAATATGGAGGAGGACACCGCCACCAATACTTTCTAATAAAACCGTGAATATTTTGATACCAATATGGAGGAGGACACCACCACCAAAACCATTATTTTCAAACAGAGAGGTAAATAATTCAGATGTGTTTCAACGAGGTGATAGACTTAGCGTTAAAACATTTAATAAAATTGATGACGAGAAAAATTTGAAATGGTTTGTAAAGGATATATATTATCCGAAAAAGAAAGATTTAGCCAGACAAGCAGAAATAAAAAATATGGGACGTTGGATTCTTCGTTGGGACCTTTATGACAACAAATTCAAATTTGGAAAATCTAATAGAACAGATTACATAATGTATTCAAGATGGCGATTTTTATATGAACCACCTATTTCAAACATTATCGATTTTTTCAAAAATTTGTAAAATTATTTTTTAATTTTATCATTTTTCTATGTAAATTTATAATTTTTTAAAAAAATATAAAAAAATAATAAATATGTAATTAAAATAAAATTTTCGAATAAATTAATCAAAAAATATCAAAACATTGCGTTTTTCCCATTGGTTGGGTTTACCTTCTATTTTAATCCAGACTATTCCTCGCCTTGATTTCCCATTAGTGGGTGTAGGAGGTAAACTTCCGTCGGAAATTTGAATACTATTAAGGCTAAGAGTTGATGATGACGAAGTTGCATGTGTACGTCGAGCCCCGAACTCTGAGCAACTTATTTCTGACGGGGGTGATGTAGGAGCAAAACATACAAGCTCAAGCGGGAAGTATCTTTCGCAAATTCCACCCTTTGTATAAGTTCTTACTATAACACATTGATGAAACGGATATTGGAGTTTTATTTTGTGATGCGCAAAGAAATATGCCGCAACCGATATATTAAATGGATAACTTAAATCGCCGAAGGCCTTGATTAAATGAGCTCCTGATGTTGTAATTCCGTCACATCGAATTGGATATCTCAATCCAGTCCTATCTGAATAAGTTGTCTCTATCTTTCCTTTTTCATTTATAAATTTTGCGATTAAATCGGCATTTTCTTGATACATTAGTTTAAATCTCACCAAATAAAGTGGACAGTTTAACTTTTTAGAAATATCCTCCAAAATAGAATTCATTTTATTGATTAATTCAAATGATTTAGTTAATGAACAAATGGTTTAATAAACTGACACGATAAATGAAAATCCCAGCTTTTTATACTAAAAAAATTTGGTTTGAATATTGTCAACTCCTACAAAATTATAAAGTGGGCGGGACTTGGAGGAGTATATAAGCCTAGAGATTTACCAACTATCATTCATTTCCTCATTAATAATTTAAAAATATTTAAAAATCAAAATATAAAAATGAGTGGATCAAAAAAAGAAAAGATCCCAAAGCTTGAATTAGCTAATGAGCCAAAAAATGAAAAGGATGAGGAAGATATAATTGAAGTAGTGGAAGAAAAGGAAAAAATCAATAAAGCAAAACCTACTACTTCAAAAGTAAATAATGAGAAAATCAACAGTATAAATCCACGTATTCTGTGGAAACTCGTGCGTATGAAAGATACACCGAGGATTGAAATTAGAATTTGCAGAAAATGTGCCATTGCACTCTATAATAATAAGAATAAGTTCTCTCAAAAGGAGAATGGAAATATTGGAATTTGTTTTGAGATTTGTGAAGCATGTGCAAAATTAAACATGTGTCTGAAGGATTTTGTTGCTGACTGGGATGAGAAGAATATCCAGAACATGAAAAAGTGATTAAAGATTAATATTTTTTATTAAAATTGTTTTTACCTTATTTATTTTTATTTCATAATTGTAAACATTTAATTTAATTTTAGATAAAAATTTTTAAAGGTTATATTATTTATTAACATAGAAGAAATTTTTGAAAAATTTATCGGATCCGACTTTTCCTTAGGACACGCCCATTTTTAGAGTATAAATACAAAAATATTTCCAATTATCAAATTTTCACCAAAAGTTTGAATTCATTTATAAATTTTATAGAAAATGTCTGTAATTGAAAATAATAGTCAGCTCTTGGAAAAGGCTATCCCTGAAGTTTTATTTACGTTGTCTTCTTCTGGTGTGACGATTTCGTCACCACGGCTCTTAACTACACGTTTTGTAGAGTTTGACATGACAGGGAAGTGTAAAAGTTGCAAGGGAGAAAATGTGGACATAGATTTTATTGTTACTCCGAAGGATGTAACTTTATATTGCAATCGCCTAAAATCAGAAAAAGTAGTAATGTTCGATCATATTTACGAGATTCCTCAACAGTGTGTCTTTCGGGTTAAATCAAAAGGGAAGAATTTCAATATTTTACACAAGGAACAAATCTGGAATAAAAAACAGTTCATCAACGGAAATGAACAAATGACTGTCAAGGACTTTTTGTCAAAGTTCTCACAGAAGCAGGTGCATGTAGATAAAGAAGAAACAAAAGAAAATATAAAGACGGATGATAAAGAAAATATATCAGAAGTAAAAATTAATAAAATTATCACCTCTTAATCATTATTTATTTTTAATTTTCAACAAATAATTTAAACATGAATTTTAATTTATTTTCTATTAAAGATATAAAACTAAAGCTTCCATTTGGGTGTATTATTAGCGGGCCAAGTTCAACTGGTAAAAGTACATTTGTACGAAAACTAATTTCCCATTCTGATCAACTTATTGATCCTATCCCAAAATCTATTCTTTACTGCTATGGCGAATATAATTCGCTTGTTCCCGAGCTACAGCGAGCTGGAGTTTCAGTTTATGCCGGAGTTCCGCCTGAAGATATTATTAAAAAACAAGAAAAACCTTCTCTAGTCATTCTTGACGATTTAATGTATACAATTGACGAAAAATATTTATCGGAACTTTTTACAAAGAAATCTCATCATCTTAATTTTGGAATAATTTTCATCACCCAGAATCTCTTTGAGAAAAAACTCAAAGTAGCACGTCAAAATTCTATGTATATTGTATTAACTCGCGCACCTAATAGTGAATTGGCCGTTCGCAATTTAGGAGTTCAACTATTCCCAGGAAGATTGAATTATTTTCTAGACGCATATAGACAAGCTACAAACACTAGTAATTATTCCTATCTTTTTATCGATTTACACCCCTCATCAGATCCAACACTTAGACTAAGAACAAATATATTTAGAGACAAAGAATCAGAAGACCCCTATAATTCACCAGCCATTATATTTTTACCCAAAAATTCCTCAAATTAAAATCATGCCAACAAATATTAGTCAACTTGTCAAGGACAACCTACAGTTTCTCAAACAACTCGCAAAAACACGGTCACTAGCTAAACGAAGACACATTTTAAAAAAAGCTTCAACCGACCAACTACTCTCTCTCACTGAAATTTGTTTCAATATTGTACGTGATCAATTTAAACTAACTAAAAGGCAAAAATCTCGTCTTCTACCATTTGCTGATTTTGTTCGTCGTGTGAGTAGGCTAAAAACGGAAAGAGGAGCCCGGCGTACAGTAATACAAAGAGGAAGCGGTTTACCAATAGGATTGTTTCCTGCCCTTCTAACACCAATCATTATCGAATTAACAAAAACTTTAATAAGCAATTAATAAAAATGGCAAATAAATTTATATTGATTTCTGAAGATATATATCGTGGACTGCTTACTCAACCCTTACCAGAAACAGGAAATATCAATTTGGATTTTACAAGAGAAAATTTGGAAAATATCAAAAGACAAAGTGGTGACTCAGAATTAAAAAATATAAATTATAACCAGGAATTAAGACGTTATTTACACATGTTGAAGGTGCAAAATGAGAGACCAATGAATGTTTCAGTAAGACAAATGGAAGATCCTGCCCTAGAGCAAATTAAAAAATTATTACCACTACTCCAAACAAACACCAATGAAAATCGTCAAGTTACCGAAAATGCACAAAAAGATTTTAAGCAAAATATTGCCACACCAAAATTTTCCCAGTTAGATGAAGGTAAAAATATAAAAGAGGATAATCTCTGTATGCACAATGCCGAGGAGGAATCTCCAGATACTAAGGGGAAAGATGAGCCAAATAAGACAAAAATAAAAGTAAAAACAAAAGAAATTTTTGAAAGCATGAAACATGAGAATCTTGATAAATATGATGTGAGCACTGATGGAAAAATTTTAAATAAAAAGGGAGGAAAAGAAATACAGGGAAGTAATGCAGAGAAGTCTATAGAGTGTATTCTTCGATCAGGAATAAGTGGGAAATTGAGATGGGGTGAATTGACACCTCCAGGAACATCAGTTTTAGAAAACAAACTAAAAAGTGATAATAAAATTTGGCCACTGATAGAGAAGGCACGAGAAAGTTGTACTCCAAAAAGAACTAATACAAAACAAAATAGAAAAATTGTTGAAACAAAAGAAATACCTGAATCAAAATGGAGACCCCCATCAGAGTGGAAATGATATTGGATAAACTTTACAATGATCCGGCGAATCCGGCAGGATTTGCTGGTGTAAATCAGCTATGGACAGAGGCCAGAAAAAAGGATGCGAGTATTAAGAAGAAGGAAGTTGAGGAATACTTGGAAGGAAATAGAACTTATACAATTCACCGCCCTAGGCGCGTGCACTTCAAAAGATCAATAACAACCCCATCTGGCTATATGACAGACGTTCAGTGCGACTTGGCAGATTTTCAAAAATTATCGCGGCAAAATAATGGAAAGAAATATGCGCTTGTTGCAATAGATGTGTTAAGCAAGAGTTTTTGCTGAACCTGTTCGCACTAAAAAATCAAATGATATGATTGATGCATTTGAAAAAATTTTGTCAAGAATGGAAATGCACCCCCACCGTATTTTTAGTGATAAAGGAACTGAATTTTCCAGCAAAGAAATTATGAATTTTTTCATGAAAAAAGATATCGAAAAATACACGGCAACTTTCTCTGAAGTTAAAGCGTCCCTAGCTGAACGATGTATACGGAACATTAAACAGAGATTATACAGATTTATGAGCGAGAAGCATACATTAAAATGGACAGAAGCTTTACCGAAAATAGTTGAAGCAATAAACCATTCAAAGTGTAGGGTTTTAGGAGGCTTAAGACCGGTAGATGTGAGCTTTAACAATGCAAAGGAAATCAGAGAAATGGTATTTGGCCATATTGGCAAGAATAAACCTAGAAAAAAACCACGTTTTAGAGAAAATGATCATGTGCGTATGAGCAGAAATAAAAATATTTTTTCAAAGGGTTATCTCCCAAATTATAGCGATGAAATTCTTCAGATAGATCTTGTTAAAAATAGGGCTAATCCTAACAGATACCGTGTCCGAGATGATAATGGAGAATTATTTAAAGGATACTTCTACCCTGAGGAATTAATTAGAGTGAGGAAGGATGAGAATACCAGCTACAGAATTGAGAAGGTTATTAAGAGCAGACAGAAAAAAGATGGAGGAAAAGAATTTTATGTTAAATTTTTTGATTATCCCCAACCTCAGTGGATAAATGAAAATCAATTTGTATAAAAGCCAATTTTTCATTCGCCATAAATATTTGTAATCATTCTTCACTTTTATTGTTTAATTTATTATTTTTTATCGTTAAATAAATAATGGCTAATACATTCTTTGTTGTTCTTCCTAGCAATGTTAGTGATTATCCAGATAATAAACTCAATAAGTATCGAGTACATCTCCCTAAGCCAATAGAATTTCAAGGTGGAAACTGGTTATGTGGGCTCTACAGCATCCAATACCCCCAGTCATGGGCTGCAACCATTGGCACAGACATTAAACAATGGATCGAAATTAATTACAAAAACAAGAAACCACGTAAAATTGGAATTCCCAAAACAACACAATTAACGCCCAACGGACTCAGCTTCTTTTTAAAACTTGTATTATCAAATAAAGAAAAATCTAGAAAAAGACGTGATTTATCAATAGATGCTTTTAGTGATGAAATTATTATTGACACAAAAATTAATTTAGTTGTGGACCAAACTAAGAAAAGACGAAGAAGGGAGGCAAGTGAAGTGGATACTGTCCCATTATGGATAAAAGAATTTTTTAATCAGTATCCTCACAATTATTGGGAAGCCATACGTGATTATAAACAAGAATTAGAACAACATAAAGTTAAGGTAGAAGAAAAAACAAAACAAGTTCTTAATGAGGAGGATGATATACAGAAGGAAGAGTTTCAGCAAGAACTTGATCACTTACATTCCCTTTCAGAAGGTAAAAAGAAGGAAATTCGTCTTTTAACAGAGGAAGCTAATAAGAGAGATAGGCTTAATGATCGACTTATAGCAAATGAGTTTCTGGAAAAGCACCCAGATGATTATCACGAGCAAGTAATAAAGATGGAAATAAATATAATAGTAAGATATATTGAGCTAGAAGATAAAGTTAATGAAAGCAGGGAAGAGGGTGGTAAAAATGTTCGTTCTGGAGAAGAAATTCAAAGATTTATTAATTCAATAAAGCGTATGCGAAAAAACTTGGAAGCATTGGAATCTGCAATAATTGAACGAGAGTTTAAAATTAGTAGGGATGAATTTCATCAACAAAATTCAAATACACACTCAGAATTTGTCCAAAAATTTTTTGACGACCACCCTGTAGATCATTGGGCTGCTCTCAAGAAAAATTTAGGTGATCTACAGGAATTACACAGGGAAATTCGAGAAAAAAGAGATTTGCATTCACAAGAACCGGATGAGGAAGAAAAGAATAAATTAGGGAAGGAGCTTGATAATTTGAGTAAATTGGCTTCCTACAGAAGAAATAGATTTACAGCGATACATCATGCGGCCTACAAGAAATGGAAAAATTTTGAGCTGCCAATTCCGCCAACTAAGAATGAAATTAAGGAAATGCAAAAAATTGAAGAGAAAACTCATCCAGAATATTTGGAAGATGCTCTAAAGGTAGATGATCAAGGCAAACCAGTGCCAATTCCTGTTCCTGTAATTACTGATGAAATGGTTGAAGTTGTTAAAGATAGGCATGGGTATGAGCAGGACAAGGCCAGAGAGTCAGAGGAAAATGAACGAAAAGATAAAGAGTTGAAAGAAAGCAAGGAACAATTAATGCATGCAAGAAGAATAGATAAATATGGGCAACCTATACCCCTTGAGCAACCAATAGATGAAGAGGAAGATACAGTACCTGATGAGGAAAGTTTCGAAAAAGAGGAAGAAGGTTGGGATGAGAAAAGTAGAGAAAGGCCAGTTTTAGATTTGGATACTTCGGAAGAAATTATAACAACAGAAGAGTTATTTGATGAGAAAGAGGATAAGCAAAGAAATGATGATGATCTGATAAATGAGAAAACGGTTACTTTGATTGAAGAAAAAGAATCTCAGGCAAAAGATTTGCATTCTGACATTGAATTTGAATATTTGGACAGCATTGATCGCTTTAGGGTAATTTTCAATGATCCTGAGATTAGAAATATAACAATATCTTCACAATTATGCTATGTTCTCGGCTTCCCCATGGGGCCTTTGTTAAACGGTCAAATTGGAAAATATGGAATTGATCTCAAAGGAGGATTTACTAGCTTTGCTGTTTATTCAAAAGGGTTAACAAACACGGTAATAATGGGAAATTCGGTCAGTTCATTACTTAGAATTGTGGCTGTTGAGAATAGGTCTGGCGGTGTTGTAGAAAGAGTGTATGATCAACCAATGTTCATACAAGTGTTACCCAGAGAGATTAACGAGATTGAAATTGAACTGAGATGGATGAACGGAAGTCTTGTAAAATTTGATCATGGAACTGTAATTATTACTCTAATGTTTAAAAGAATGATAAAATTTTAATTAATTAATAATATATTTTTAAAATTTCAAATTTTATTTATTTTTTATCATTTTAATATTAAAAGAAAAAACAAATTCGTCTGGATTTGAATGATTTGATAATAGGGATAGAAATTTTTTATAAGAAAATCCAGAGGAAATAAAATAAATAAAAGTGATACAATGCTGGCCACATGTGGAATAAAGAGGGTTTTGAAGGGGTACATTATTTATTACACGATTTGGAAATTTGGATATAAAATTTTTTATTGAAATGGGAGGTTCGGGGAGTAATAATGAGTCAAATATTAATATTTTCTCTTGGTTTTCTATGAAAAATGCAATCCAATGTGATCCATTTTGAGAAGACTTCTCGAGGTTGACGACCATTGAACAAGGGTATTTTCGGACTTCCTGTGGAATTTTATCTGAGGCAAAGCAACCAATAAAATATCTTCTAGTAATTCTGTTGTGGAATAGAATTTTCTCAATTTGTAATGTGTCCATTTCCGTCAAGGAGCTGGAAGTGTGAATCTTTTCTTCGAATTTCTCCAAGTTCAATATCAATGTTGTTGTTGTTTTTAATTTTTATAAATTTTCTAAGTTGATAGGTTAAGGCTGTTGCTAGCAATAGAAGCCAGAGTACAATTAATGCATAACAGTAAATAGTTTGAGCAAATGATGCTTCTGATGAAGGGAATTCCTTGCAAGGTGAGGGAAATTGCACATTCTCCACGTGTTCCATTGACCAGAAATCCAAAATTGTAATATTTTTTTCAGAGTTAAATTTAGATGCTAGCCCAATACTATTTTGTACTCTTTCAGGAATTATTGGGAATTTTGTTGAAGAATTAATGATTTTGCTTGATTTAGGGGGAATAGTATTAGCGTAATAGCCTATACGTTCTCTTAATTTTTCTCTATACTCCGGATTTTCATCTTCGTTAGACATATAATATTGCTGTGTGAATTTATACGGAAAGAAAAATAAAATGATACAAACTAAATTAAATTTATTACTTATATTTATGTGACACATTTTTAAAATGAAGTAAAAGATTAAAAAATGAGGAAAATTGTGGGTATTTATACTGAAATATCTGTGGAAATAGTTCTGTTCCTATCTAACATTAGCAGAGAATCGATTTCTCCCATTGCTACAAGTACAATCCCACCACTTGGAACTGGTTCGTTGAAGGTCATCCTTATACTTGTTGTACCGTTCTTTATTAAATCAAACATTTCTGGTCCATTATCTTCCTGACTATTTGTGAGGTTAAATACGAAGAAGCAATATCCTGCATATGCATACCGAAACATTGATATACCGTTACTTTCTAGCGATCCCGCGTACCCTACTGCCTCTTGCATGTCATGATAAATTCTAGCGTAGTTGCCTTTTGAAAAATCAAGGGAATAAGGGGCTGCTGGAAAAGTTACTCCCCCAGCAGTTATGGAAATATC